TATATATATATATATATATATATATATATATATATATAACCATAGACTCTGACACTTGAATACGCCAGACCTAGTGGAACCGTGATTCCGAGGCTTTATGGCTTTACTAAGATCCATAAGCAAGGTGTACCGTTTATACCGATACTGGACATGTACAACTCTCCCTATCATCTGACTGCTAAGTGGCTTGTTAAACGCCTCGAGCCGGTAGGGAAAGCCTCCGAGACACTTTCGAATTTCTTGACTCGGTGCAACAACTAATTCTAGCTGGACGGAAGATGTTCTCACTAGATGTGACGTCACTTTTCACCAACGTCCCGTTAGAAGAGACCATTGACTATCTCTGCAAGTTTATCCAATTGCACAACATCAATATCGGTATTCCAAATGACTGTTTAAGGCAACTTATATTGGCATGCACTAAGAACATTCAGTTTCAATTCAATGAGACGTTTTACAGACGAATAGACGGGGTAGCTATGGGTTCACCATTAGGACCGCTACTCGCCGATGTCTTCATGAGTAAGTTGGAGAACACTCAGCTAAACGAATGTAGCAACAACTTGTTTACTACGGTCGATACGTAAATGACATATTTTGTGTTGCGGATAGTCGAGTATGCATCGAAGATCTGTTAGCCCACTTCAACGCTGCACATAACAACATAGTGTTCACCATAGAACTTGAAAGTAACAACTCGTTGACATTCTTAGATGTCCACATCACCAGAATATCAGACGGGTCAGTACAAAGGAGAGTACATAAAAAGACAACTTGGACCGGCCAGTATACCCATTTCGCCGGTTTTGTTCCAATGAGTCAAAAGCGCAATCTTGTCCGTTGTCTAACCGAAAGAGCGAGGAAAATATGCACGGAAGATACGCTGTCAGATGAACTGAGTTTTATTCGAAGCGTTCTCGAACAAAATGGTTATCCGGACAAATTCATCCGGAGACACATGGAGCCACGAGCCCCTAAAGTCCAACCAATCACCGCTGAACAGCGCTTAATCCACTTATCACTGCCTTTCAAAGGTGATGTGATAGCAGAACGAACTACTCGAAGGCTCTGCAATGCAACAGCGAGAACCTACTTTGCAGCTGACCTCCGCGTCAGCTTCACTTCTACACCAGTCGTGAGTAAGCATCTCAAGGACAGATTGCCGAGGTCAAATATTTCCTTCTGTGTATACCATTTTTCTTGCTCGTGTCGAGCAAGTTATATTGGAAAGACGACCAGGAGTCTGTCTGAGAGAGTACGAGGACATTGCCCGGCGTGGCTCTACCCTGGTGTCAGAAAGACAGTAGTCAGCGCGGTGCTGGGGCATTTGGCCGACACAAATCACCAAGTGCATGTGCGAGAGGCCTTACGGCCTATCTACAAGATATCTGGACGCCACACGCGAGCCCTCCGATGTCGCCTATTGGCGACAGCAAGAGCAATCGGTATTCGGCTCCATAATCCCGAATTATGTGCCCAAAAGAAGTTTGTACAGGCCCTACAGCTGCCATGGCCTCAAGCTTCCCCATGTTACGACACCACGCTTGACCCTTCCACTAATGATGCCCAAGTCAGTGTGGTCACTTGATTGCATTAACCGGTCAATTCACTTCATTGATTCATTGTATTTAAATACCCTGTGTTTGATTTATTCCTATCATCTGTGGTGTGTTGGCCTGATGCGAACCACCGAAAACAAGCTTGTTCGCCTAACACTCTTTTGATTCAGATATATATATATATATATATATATATATATATATATATATATATATTCTTTCTCATACAAATGTCTAGTGGGCCATGAGCTGTGCCATTTGGGGCCACTACAGAAGCGACGACGGGTCCTGCAGAGAATTACGGCGAGCCGGCACAGCGTTTGTAGGCACGCTAAATTCGATTTACTAACCGCGTGCTTGCATGCTAAGTCTCTTTATTTCAGGTGGTGGGTTTACAGTTTTTACCTTAATACTTTTCTTTCTCATATAAATATCTCCTTGTACTCTATTCCATTAACTTGCACACATCGTTTCAGCCAATTGTATTCGATTTCCATAACATTTTTGTGTTCGTGGCATTCCGTGAACTATACTTTCTGACCTCGTGCACTCAGCTAGGATCTGTTTGTAAACAACTTATTACATATGCTCATTAAATTAAGGTTTATATCACCGTTTCCTTATGCATTAATCGAGTTTTTCTCTTTTTCTTTCTCTCTCTCTCAAGTGTTTGGCTGTTGTTTGATATCCCCGGTGTGGCTGCGCTTGATGTGCATGTTGACAAGGTGCCTACCTGTCTATTACCCACTACCTCGTCCACACTGGCTCCAGGAGACAGTTGGTCGTTGCTAGAGGGGACAGGGTGCACGGTCCTTGTGGCCGTGTTAGGCTCGAAGAGTGGTTCCATGCAGTCAGTGTGGAGGGGACTACGGTCCAGCCACCGCCTTGTGTGCGCTTTATTCCCAAATACAGTGTGCTTGTGTTTGCCTGTGAAGGAGTGTGGGCCGGCTCCGTTGATGAAACGTGGTTCCCATCCGCATGCCTCCCGGTCTTATTCCTTCGGGTTTACACTGGATATGGGGTATGTGGTTGGAGCTGTGGGTGGTGCAGCGCAAGCCATCCATGGTCCCTCTGTAGGCGCAGGCGTCCTGTGGCTTGCCACAGTGACAGGCAAATCCGAAACCGGATGCCGCCAGCCATATATATATATATATATATATATATATATATATATATATATATATATATAAGGAAAGTTGTCTGCGATGCTATAATTATCCGCAGATTTGACCACAGAAGATAGGAGCAGTAAATTTTGAGGAGGGCTGTTTTGAAAATCTGTGGATTCTCTTAATTACCATCGAAGTCTGCCAACAGAATGAATAGACTATGTATTTCCGGATAACAAATTTTTATGTTGCATCTAAGTCTCTTTATGGGAAAAATGGAATTTACATCGCAGTAGGTCCCAGCACTATACCTTATGCGCCACAGGGTGAGAGCTACCAACAAGTTACAGGTTTAGCCGTGCAGATAGTCAGTATGTGTCCTTATTAGTGAACATGTATGATGAACAGAGCCGAAGTAGGCACAATTAAGTACACTGGGCTTGACCAATTCATTATTGGACAATAGCGTTGATGCGGAAGTATTGTGAAGTCTGGCACCTGGCAGCCGGGGTGACAATTTGCAGATAGGTGCGACGGGCAAAATAGATAGCAAAACGCAGATTTGGTTGTTGTCTGCGTTAAATCCAATTCGAAGCAGTGAATAAATGTCATGGAATCCGCGGAATAAAGCAATCTGGTTCAGGGAGACATCGTGACACAGGGAAAAGCTAGTATAAATGCGAACGAATCAACCGTCCGCTTCGACTACAAAGGAAAAAGTGGTCCACATGGGACAGCTAGCAACAGAGCAGAAACCACACCACATTAGCCTGCCAGCTATATTATCAAACGACGAGGAAGCTGCTTGAGGGACGTATGGCCAAAAACCGAAGAGAGCTGATTAATAGGACAGTATATATTGGGTCTTAGGGTGCCCTCCATGGGTTTGGATTGCGACACGCAATCGCAATTAAGGCCACGGTTTACTCTGAAGCAAGCTTTTACCATTTCGATCGTTAGTTGGGTGTACATCTATATAAGGCAGCGGAAAATGGACACGTGTTCCCGTCCGTCATGTTGTAGGTAAAGTACCGAGTCGCAAACTAGGGGGCAGACAATCCAATTAGGTATACCAAGTAGGTAGAAGCGACAAATGCGAACCGACTCGAAGGATGATCTCTTTGGCGAACGAACTCTGAGAGCCACATAACCTGCTCTATTCGTATAGCGATGCGCTTCCAGGGTCCCGGTTAGTTAACGGAGATTCAAAGTAGATGTGATATCATTGACTACGCCTGGCTAGTGGTCCCATAGATAACATTTTGGTATAAACTGCGTTTCGCATGAAAATGTGATGCAGAAGAGATAAGAGACTCCCTTGAGTCAACCAAGGCAAAATGGCTGGATCGCAGTGTGCAGCTAAACCACGGTGTCTACAATTAGCTAAGGAATGCGGGAGGGACCAAGTACTGACATAAGAGTGGTGACTATGAAGGAGATCGATTAGCATTTGACATCGATTAACGGATAGTCGAAAGGAAAAGGTGTGTTTTGCAATCTGGATGGCACCGGTTCAAGTGTGCGTAGGGGATCTAGCGATTCTCGCAGTATCTTTAGTACATGTGGGACTGGTGGTGGTTGCGTGGCAGCATAGCGTCGGTACGACGTACCAGCGTATTGTTAGTGTCTTTTTCCCTTTTGATTACCATATGGTTCGCCAAACGTCTTGGTATCAATTCGGTTTGCCTGCATCAGGAATGCAGATGAGCCCCACACGATGCAACATAGTGTAAAATAAACAACCCCCTAGGCGACCACCTTCTTCGTATAGAAAACCTAACGCAGCCGACACGTTGGTCGCTATTAGTGCAGGCTGAATAGACCGTTGAAAACCCCGTATGATATAAAAATTCTCAGCATCAGTTGCAATGAAATTCTGGGAATAAGATACCCAGGAGTAGCAAAAAAAGTGGCATTGGAGATGATGCAGAATAAACAGAGGATATCGTGGTACCTGACCAGATGAGAGCTTACATGACGTTCTCATGTAAATGTAATCGCCGGCTAAACGGTATACAAAATATGAAAAACTTAAGGAGTTGTATTGATTGGATGATAAAAATAGAGGCTATGACATGAAATAGAAGAAATTAGTCCATTCTCACGCAGGTCACGCGACAGGCTGCGAAATACTCTTAGAAAGTGGTCATAGGGAGGTAGATTAGATAGGAGCAACGTGATAAGAAGCACATGGAAATGCGGCACTTCGGGAGCGTGAAACTATGTAGTAGGTGTAATACGAAGATAGGAAACTCACTAAGCATGCAGATGAGAGAAGGTCAAGAGGAATGCATAATAAAATATTGGACGAGAAAACCTTGAAAACATTCACCTGTAATTAGCGAAACCTTTTGTGAAAGCGACATCAACTCAGAGCCCATCTGTAACAGAAAAGATGGTAAATTGAAAGGCGATGCTGACAATGAAGAACGAGACTAACCGAGTAATCTATTGAAGATAGATACGTCTAAGTGGTACAGTAAGTTAGTTGTTTTGAATGCCTGCACAGTGGTACAGAAACGAGGGTGCAGCTGTTTGGACAAACTTCCGATGTCTTTGTTGTGTTTAGTGAGAAGCAAGGCCGTATTTTAGCCCCCGTCCAGCTTGATGTTTATATAACTGCTATGATGTCTGTTGATTTCAACGCTTGTCGTATAACTGTCCAAGAGTCAAGAGGACTGCTGAACATCCGTCGTTCCGGGACCAGAATTTTAGTGTGTGAGAAGAACCAACCGTATGTTGCTGCTTGTCGACGATTGTGCGTTGTTTGCGTATAGAGCGGATGAGTTGAAGCGCATGATGACGGATCTCGCATTGACAGCGGCTATATTCGGGTTCACCACTAACACAAGCAACATTGTTTGCCTACAAAAGAAACGGCATCCATATGCTTTCCGAGACTAACATCGGTGATGATGTTGTGGAAACCACCTCCCGATTTTGCTACATTGGGAGTGTAACATCTAACGACCTGCAGTTGACGAGCGAGCTGCGTATGTGTGTATTGAAGGCGGCTGCCGCATTTAGAAAACTGAAGAGTCCAGTGTGGAACAATCGTCGGCTGACCACTGGGAGGGAGCTGATGGTATGCAGGTCTATGGTGTTGTCCGTTGGTTATCTAGAGCGCTTCTATCAACACTGTTTGCGTCGGATTTGGCTCATCGGCTGGGGTGAGCGAGCTGCTGATACGGAAGTGCTGCGCCGCAGTGGCATGCATGCACTGGACTGCATACTTCTGCTGAAGCACCTGAGGTGGATCGGGCATTTCAGCCACGGATTCGGCGCGGACAGCCAAGCAGCAGCTACATGGACAATTCAGTACAGGGCTGCGACACGCGGGAAAACCGAAATTAGGTTGCCAGGACATAATCATGGTGAGTTTATCACAAACTAGTGTTGATTTCAAGTTTTGAAACTCAAAGGCAGTTGAACGTCGTGAGCTTATGAAGATGGAGATTACTCAGGTACAGAGGAGAGCATCATTGTATGCGGCAGTGAAACGTCTATTGAGGAAGCGACGAATGCAGATGAATTCCAGGCCATCGACGTCAAGCGCATGGTGATGTAGCACATGCGGTCACAAGTGCCTCAACCAAACCGGCCTCGTAAGCTCTCATTGTGGCCACGTGGGACGAAGGGTCAACAGAATACGAGTAAGTTAAGTATGCAATGCTTGGTAAGCGCGCTGCTTCGATTCAATTTACTAACACAGGCCACTAATGCGGTCGATGCGGTGCGTGCGCTACATAACCGCTGAAGTTGGTCTGTACGTGTGCATGCGTGTTGGGTTTCTTGCATTTCAGGTGTCTGCTGAGGATTGATATCCCCTGTGTAGCTGTGCTTGCTGTGAATATTGGAAAGATGCCTACCTGTCTATTAACCACCACCTCTTCTACACTGGTTTCAAGAGACAGCTGGTCATTACGAAATCCCTAAGTTGGCTTGGTGGATCACCTGTGGTACTGCATTTCCGCCAGATAGATAGCGAGTTGATGGTGTACTTGATCATGCTAACGATTGCTGTGTTTTTGAATATTCTTGCAGCCTTTGATTCTGTCGACCGGACTGTACTGTGGCATTGCCTGCTGAGGAATGGCGTCCCCGATAAGTTCGTCTTTAGACTGCGCGCTATCTATGGTCTGACTTCGGGCAGAGTTAGGGCTTATGGCAAGCTTTCGCCTTCCTTTGTGGTCCCCAGTGGAGTTCGACAAGGATGCCCTATCTGTCTGTCCTTATTCAACTTTGACATTGAGGATGTCCTAAAGAACGCGTTGGATAATTCGTTGAACGCTGATGTTGAGCTCCTCCCAGGTAGTCGAGCTGTTGATTTGGATTATGCGGATGATACCGTCTTGGTGGGTGACGATCCATACGCCGTTCAACTTGCATTAAACCGCTTGGCGATTGGAGCATCAAAGTATGGTATGTACTTTTCGCCGTTCAAATGCAAAGCTCTCTTTCAAAACTAACAGGTGCCTGTGCATGCACTCACTCTTGGTGGTGAGACAATGGAAGTTATGGAGAGCTTTGTCTACTTGGGAAGTTGCATCACTGGTGGTGGAGCTGCTGGAGACGAGATTTCGATGAGCAACTCAAGAGCACGCCAGACTTTTTCTAGGCTGAGGCACTTGTGGTGTCGCCACGACATTCGTTTATTGTGCAACGGTTCGTGCTGTACCGTTGTACGGATGCGAGACCTGGCCCATTCGTAAAGATGAGTTGCGCAGGCTATCCATCTTCGAACACCGCTGTCTGCGGTCCATTGCCCGTCTGTGATGGTGGCACCACAGCGTGTTTTGAGACGAGAAAGCTACTCGCTCGAGGAGCTCGTTTCACTGCATCAACTGCGGTGGCTGGGACACGTATAGCGCATGCTTGTTCAGCGTTACCCGCGTCGTGCGTCGTTTGCGGTTGCTGGACACGACTGGAAGAGACAGTCTGGTGGACAGCCAACAAATTAGAAGAGCCGCATGAAAAAGCAAACGAAACAGTTGGCCTCGGCCAGTTGTTGTCGACTACCTGGTTGGGGTCCGAGATGCGGATAACTGCTGCTTGAAGACCTTGGAAACCATGGCCCAAGATCGATGTCAGAGGCAGACGTGTACATCTGTGTCTCTCCTTCCACCAGCTGAAAAACAACAAACGAATTGAGAAAAAAAAACATTTTAAAAATGTGAGCGGCAAACGAGCTTTTGTTGTTTTTGTTGTAATATTCCTCCGGTCCGGCGTTCCAAGATCTTCCGTGTCAACGTAGTGCGACAAGCTGCAATGCAAAATAAATACCTCGTAGACGGCTGGACGCTCAACCGCTTAATAGGAGGTCGGTGAAAGGAAGTATGGAAGAGGGAAGGAAGAGTGCCGGAGAGGAATAGGAGGGTAATGATAAGAGGAAGCAAAACCGATCGACCTCTTACCTGTTAAGGTGTTACCGTGACACCCGCGGACGGGCCACATTATCCCCCCTCTTAGCAGGCGCTGTCCTCAGCGCCTAAGTTCAAGTTCAAGTTCGGGTGGGACTGGAACGATAGGAGAATCCCGTTCCATCTTGAGTGGATCGTTGAGCCTGGAATTGATGAAGTGCTCGGAATTCCTGATGGATCTAAAACGGAACACCCGTATCGTACCCTGGCCAACCAGTTAATGCCCACGTTTCCTGCCCTAACAGTCCTGCTGTGGCAGTCACGTGAAGCAAGGAAAGGATAGGAAGAGAAATCGAAGGTACAGAATAAGGAAGTGTACTTGAAATGAGAAAATAATACCAATGGGTGAAGAAAAGTAGAGAAAAGAAAATCGAAGTATGAGGATGCGAGTTAGTCAGGAAAAAGGAAAGGTTTCATGTTGCCACCCAAGAGCGTCAAGTTGTGGCTCAAAGCCTTTAACCGTACATTCCCTGATACCACTTTCCGGAAGCATGTTCCAGTGCTCGATCACTCGGTGTCACAGCCGGATTTCCGCCCTAATCCGATCGGACCGCGGTTTGTTCAGCTTCTAAGAATGACGGCGTTAAACAGACAATATAGCGGAACTGAATAGCCAAGATAAATCTGGGCCAACCTTCCTAGTTAGGATACGGTAGGTAGGATCAGGTCTCCTTTATGCCTTCGGTAGTGCATTGAATGCATTCCCAAACTAAGTAGACGCTCGGGATATGTCCGTCCCCGTAATCCCTCAACTAATCTAGTACCTACCCGTAAAACCCTCTCTAGCTCCATTTTGTCCCGAACGAAGCAGGGCGAACAAGCCTGGACGCAGTATTCTAGATGAGGCTGAACGAAAGCCGAGAACAGTCTCGTAAAGATGCTGCCCGTCAACACTCAGAAAGAGCGTCATATTAACCACAACATGCGGAAACCTCTGCTTGTGTCCTTCTTTCAGTTGTCGCCGGAGTGTAAGACGCTTAGATCAACCTGGCTAGATACACGGGGCAGTTCGACCCCACCGGGCAAGTACTTCGTAGGAGGAAAAACTCCTCCAATCCGAAGAACGGAGCACTTCGCCTGATTTGTGGGCAGTAACCATAAATTAGATCAGTCCCAAAGCTTATCCAAGGCTCGCTGATTAGCTTCGGAACCCCCCGGGAACATCGACAAGGTTCCACAACTACAGGTCATCAGCAAATAGCAGCGATGATAACTCAAGCTCCGCGGGTAGGTCATTCACATAGATAGAGAACAGCAGCGGTCCAAGGATCGAGCACTGCGGCACGCCATTGAGGACAGACTTCCTAAACAATAGGCCCCGGCCTACCCGTACACACTGTTCTCTACCAGTCAAGAAGGCAGTCACCAATGTAGGGCGTAACCAATTACCCCCGTAGGAAGTCAGTTTTTGGGCGGGCCTCAAATGGAGTACCCTGTCAAATGCCATCGAAAAACACGTCCAGTGCGTGGTCCTTCTCTACTGCATCCGCCCAACTTTCACGAGCCAGCAATAGATTCGTCAAACACGAAAATCCTTTCCGGAATCCGTATTATACATTGCTAAGTAGATTAAATCTACTCAGATGACTCTCCAATGAATCTCTCACCAGTTTCTCGAGGAGTTTGACTACTACACTCGTCAGACTAACTAGCGTATAATTTGCAGGCAGACTCTTGTCCCCATTTTCGAAGATGGGACATATGACAGCTTCCTTCCATTCGGAAAGTAATGCACAGCCGTCAAGCGATTTCTGAAACACGATAGCGAGCGGCCCACTTAGGTCCGCAGCCAACTGATGCAACAGTTTCGGATGAATTCAATCAGACCCCGAGGCCTTAGAAGGGTTCAGCCCTCGTAACAGCCTACGAACTTCTGTCTCCGCTACAATAAATTCAGATAGTCCTGAACCTGCTGGGATCCCGCAAACCAGCTCAAGGCCTAACAAAGAGGTTTCTCTTAC